TCATTCACTTGATAAGAGGTCTTGAAGAGAGGGGGAGAGGGGGGGGGGGTTAATCAAGGCCAGAGAAATTAGTCTTTGTAACAATGTTTCTAGCTCTGTGAAAAGGTGACTTTTACTAGACGTGGCCTAGCCCCTGATGAACTATGCAGAAAGGAATCAGACTGGAAAACTTTTGTGGGAACTGAAGTATTCAGTATTCAATAAGTAAAGTGTAACAAAAAGATGTACAGTGTTCAAGAATGTATCACCTTCTCGTGAAGGAATTCCAGGTATGTATCCAACGGAGCATGTGTAAACGAGGTACCACAATTGGTTGGGTACGTTTCTTTTCCGTGCTCATTACAACATGACGTTGGAACGCGGCCTAAAAACTGCCATTACAATTCTAACACATCGATTCCGATCCAGTACATGAACAGTTAGTTAGTTCCCAGTCACAATTCGTAGGTGTTATCATTTCCAATCAGCACTTGGCACGAACATGAATCACATGTTGAACGAACGTGTACAGTGAAAGATCCTATCAATGTTTCCCTTTATTTTCGTTTCTACCGTGCCTTCCCAAATGTTAAAGCAACATGCGAAAGAAAGCGTTCAGCGACGATCAATATCGAGGAAATTTCAGGAATTTGTCATTCTGTACTATTAGGAGCGTATGCATGAGTAATTGGCGGAAAGGGTTTGCCAGAAAAACCAAGCAGTAACCTGAAAAGTAAGCAAGTAAGTAAACGTGAGCCCTGAGCCAATTCATCGAACCCAACAGGGGTCCGTTTAGTCCTGATTCCTTTTCTATTCCATTTCCCTTTTCTTTTTCCTTTTTCCGAGCGGAGCATTCCGCTACTACACGACTCTGTCAATAGCATGACAAATGCTCACAGCACCAAAAAAGTACCAAGCATAAGTAAATGTTCGTTAATGTTACAACCAACATTACAACTTGACTACGTAGTTACTCTGTTTGAAAAAAGTAGCTCAACTGCAGAATCTCCTCAAATTATAGTCCAAGCTGTTAGAATGTACTGACCGTATCCGTTGCCTCGTCCTCCTCCTATGGCGCCGATACCATGCTCTATCCTGGTTTCTGAGTTATCTGTGCTGTGTGAAGCTTTCTTGTCCCAACTGGCTCCCAACCAATCGGTATAAGATTTTACTCCGCAACATTCCAACTGAAATGCTGGATATAACAAATATCAACAAATCCTAATCGATGATAACAAAAATTATGCATGCATGATCATAACCAATGGAAGAAGTTTTTTTGACTTGAAAATAAAAATTATTATTCACAATTACTGGAAAGTGTTGCGTTGAACGCCAAATATGTCGATTACTGAAAATTAAGAAAAAGGTGGTTCCCTGTGCACCGCCAAGCGCCTATTTTCATGGCCGACTGTGAAGATACGGACGTGGAAAGAATTGGTCAGGAAATCAAATTAGATGGTATCCATTGTTAAGTAATGCTTGCAGTGATAAAAAGAGGTAATACCCTGTGGTATTGGTTCATTATATTGCATTGCTGGTGTGGTGAGTATTACACGGTGTCAAAGAAGCGGAAGGAGATATTTATTATTTGTAACTTATTTGGAATCATTTATTTGTAACTTATTTGGAATCTTGAATTATTTTAAAAACAGTTTCCGGCGAATGGTAGACGACTCTGGACAGAGGATGGATTTTGTCCCAAAGGACGTCCCCAAATGTAGCTCGTCAGTACCACCACAAGTGACTTATCCAACTTCAAGTAATACTGGAATTCTCATACTATCGTTTTGAAGTTCGCGTGAGAGCTGGACCAGTTCTCTTCACCAAACCTTCGTAAATTTGGATCCGGTTGGCGCTGTACAAACCACATACCTCTTGTTGTATACTGTCAAAAGCTGTCTTGTAGTTAGTATCTGATGCATATCGATTTCGAATCGTGTCGTACATACTGCTTTCAATATACTCTCTGAAACTAGTAGGTTATCATACTTCTGGAAAAAACTCTGCTACACCTCCATTCGAAGCCATAATTCACGGTTGGGGATTAAACACCGCCTTTCCTCTGATGAGACCGGAGTTGTGACTTTGAATGTCTTAGACTTGGACGTTCCCCTCGCTATGATTTTCTTTTTGCAGCCAACGAATCTGCTAGGTCAATTTGATTGAAAATAGAGGGGGACCAGAAAGCTCAGGATTTCCTCGAATCACGTATTCACTCTTCTTTGGCACATGGGAGGAATTTGGACGCGTGCTTGAGCAAGGCTATAATCGCATACAAAGGCCGAGCGGAGTTGAAGTCAGTTTTTTACAATCTCAAGTCAAGCCATGTGTGATGGCAATTAATCGATCCCAGAGGAGTGGAGGGCTTGGTTGGCCTAGGTGGAATCCGATATACTATGTCAATTCATCAATTGGAAATGTTGCATTGGCTATCAACACCCCTTCCAAACAGTAAAAATCGGAACGCCGTCCGAAAGGGACTCAGAAAATATGCAAGAATGAGAACACATTG